AACAATATTAAATTTTAGTGGGTAGTTAATTATTTTCGTTTAGAATTACAGGCATTTCGAAAAATTTTTATATCTACATAACTATTGATAATATTGATAAAAATACCAACTTATGTTGGGGTGTTTGGTATGTATCTTACATAAATATTTTTACCTGCAGTTCAAGTGCCTTTTACCGTCTCATTAAAAAATCCATTACAAATGCAAATAAGCGCTTAAGCACGCACTTATATACCTAAATAAAACCCGAAAAGAAGAAAGAAATATACATACATATAATTATCAGACAGAATATTTTTAAATTTGTAATATTAACGGCATATTTTTCCTCAGTTCCCCACGCATTTCCTCAGTTCGACTGATTCTCTCTTTCTAATGCTTGTACCGCTCGATCTGGGACGATCGGTATAAGTAAGCATCAAGTGTACGAAGATACTGCTATCTTAAAGTTACCAACTGGTTTTTCCAATGTTATTGACAAGTGGAACATTAAAGTGGAATGGATCAACTGCACAAGATTTTAGAATCGACCCAATTGACCCTAAAAATTACATTTTGAAATTTCCGAGAAAACTTTTGAATCTGAATTATTTAGAGCTCAAATTGTGTAATTTCTAACATGTGGAAAAGAAAACTACACGGCAACTATGCATTCAAGATACTATAAGAAAAGAATAATAATTTTATATACATAGGGTTCTATCATCCCTTAATAATATTAAATTATATTCTGCAGGTATGAAGCTTAATCTATTTTGTGTATCTATTTATTTTTAAAATTTGAGCACAAATACTTGGCAAGTATAACGACAGTAGTGACATGCATTGATATTTGTTTTGCACCGCCTGTATATTGCAAACTAAAATGAATCTGTATAACCTATAATGAATATAAATTTGCATCTAACTATATATTACCAGTAGAAAGTAAAATACAAGTGTTTTACAGTATAAACAATGTCAATTAAATATAATGCACATTCATTTTTGCACCATAAAATTTTCAGGATATATTTGAAAAACTGTTGATCAATAAAAAATTAGTAAGGACAATAAATTGTTTTTTGTCCTCTAACAAATTAGAAGATAATAAACGTTAAGTACTTATTAAAATTGATCTTGTTATTATTAAAACAAAACAGTTTAATTTAATTAGCATATCAAATTAGTCTTAACAATTTAAAAATTTACATAGGATGCAATAAAATATTGCTATTTTATGCTATTTTACTAATAATACTAATAATATCAATTATTAAAAAATAGAATATAATTTGCACAGTTACTCTTTTCCGCACAAGCATTATCAAAAACCAAAATATATAAAATACGGGAGGGCAATATCCAGATTGATTCAATAGTTTCCCCTATGGCAGCAATTCAAAAAACAGTTAAGGATATCATTTCGTTATTTCATCATATGAATAAAAACTGTTATAATGCTGTGTGGCCCCTGTGTTATGATCTTTGCTATCGTTTTGAGCAACTTTCAAATTGAAGCAAGTAAGTAAACTATTTTAATCAGTGTAATCTATAAAAGACAAAATTTTTTAACAATAAAAATTTGTGTAAATTATTCTACAAGCATACATGTATAAATGCCACAATTCAAAATTTGCCAAATTTAAATAAAAGATATAGATGTTCTCTTTAAGGAAGTCTTCATTCACCCTGTATACCATATGAAAAAACTCCATAAAAAACATTTTATCTGATAAAACCAGAATCCATTACCTTTTTTAATATATCTAAAAAATATCTAAAAATAATATATACTTATTTTTAAAATAAATCTTTTAATTGTAAATTGTACAATTGGATCTTACTACATTATGTGTTTTTTTTAACATTGACATATATGATGCTGATAGTGTTAATTAAAATCGGTTAAGGATTTATCATCTGGTTTTTCCATTTGACTAATACGAATTGGTTTTATTCCTAAGTAATCTAATTAACTATAATAACTAAAGTAGGTATCGTGTTTACAACTTTATAATTTTTTGTTAGCATTTGTAACGGAATGTATTACGATCAATAACACTTCTGGACTATGTGTAGAAGTTTTAAACTGTCCACGACTTTCCAAACAACTTAACACAACGGCAAGAGTCAATTTGGAAGCGTTATCATGTGGATCTAAAAATGAAAATCGTTTAAATCCCAAAGTTTGTTGCGAATTATTTAATGGAAACAAGAATTACGTAGAAATAGATTCAAATGACCGTAAGTTATTTGCATTAACATTAATCTATTGGAAATATTCTATTACAAGCCAATTTATGTACCTACCTACATTTAAATTAATGCTATTGGTATATTTCAGGGTCGATATTACCAAAAAAATGCGGTTTAAGAAAAATGACTATAGAACCAAGGATTCTCGGTGGAACCAATGCAGCCTTAGGTGAGTTTCCTTGGATGGCCTTATTGGTACACAAAAAAAATGAATTCACATCATTGGGCTGTTCGGCGTTTCTGATCCATAAGTATTTCGTACTAACAGCCGCTCAATGCGTCCATAGTAACTACAAAAAGATTAGGGGGCCTGTGTAAGGAAAATGCGCCCTTCAATAATGTTACTTGAAATTTAAATTATTTATTTTTCAGATTTGCCGTGATACTGGGCGAACACAATATGAAAACCAAAATTGACTGTAATCACATGTACTGCGCGGATCCCTTACAAGTTAGTCACATTTCCAAAGTAATCATTCACCAAGATTATAACATCGAATCAACGGGCCATTATAACGACATAGCCCTAATACGTATGAAGAAGGCAGCCAGAAATACAAGTAAAACCAATTACTGGTAATACTTTTTTGGACTTCAAAGTTTTTAAGAAATGTTAAACTTGAAACAATTTGAAATTTTAAAAATGCTAAATCAGAAAACGAATAATTTAATTATGTATAAAAAATCTGGATTTTCAAATAATAATAAAACAATTTCAGATTTTGTGTCGCCAATTTGTCTTAAAACTGATAAGGCCCAATCGGGTGAATCTTATATAATTAGCGGCTGGGGAAGAACAGAAACAGGTAGTTTACACAAAAAAATTATTTTAATTTATAAAAATGAAATTTATTGATTTTTTTAGATGCATTTAGCAACGTTAAAAGAAAAGTGGAAATACCGGCCGTGGATAAAGAAATATGCCGAAAAAAATATCGTGAAATGGGTATTGAAATAAAAGATACACAAATTTGCGGTGGTGGTGAAAAAGATAAAGATAGTTGCACTGGCGATGCCGGAGGGCCTTTGATGGTTGGAAACGATACTCATTACACGGCTGTAGGAATAGTGAGTTTCGGTAAGTCATTAATAGATATAATTTCAACGTTTAATTTTTGTTTACTAATTTAGGTATTGGATGTGGCTTAGAGAATTGGCCAGGCGTTTATACCAACATTTCCAGTTACCTACCTTGGATTGAAGAGCAAATAAGTCTCAATTATAAGAATAAGAAAACTCTTTTTACTTTAGTCTTTAATTAAGTCTCACCACTTCTTCTAGAAAATCTCGTTACTTTATTGGAAATAAAGTTAATTCACAAATAGTTTTAAAATTAACGAACTTTACAAAAATAGAAAATCAACATTATAGTCTAACTTAACAACACTAAGAGAACCATATTTGTAAATAGTATCTATAAATAAATAAAAAATATATTGTTCTTTCTATGTATGTAATTTTACATGACCTTGAATTGCAATGTTTGACTAAGTGCCCTGGCCTAAGACAATTTATACACTAACCTCTGCGTTTAATTTAGTCTAAAGGATTTTGAGTTTTAAGTGAATATATTGTTGGTAGTTGGCCGACAATGTTAAAAATTGGTGATCTGGAGTCAGTCGATACGACCTCATGCCAGTTACGAAAGTTTCGAACCATCCGAAATATCCGAAATGAAACAAAAACGCCATTAAATCTTCATCGGAGGCATCCTTTCCTAAAAATACAGGGTAGCCCAGAACTCACGCCCCACCGGCAAATGCCCTATGGAAACGTCAATGGAGATGCCAAAACTGTAGCCAAAAACATGAAAATGTTATTCCTTTGGTAAATAAAGAGGTTTAAATTTGACCAATCCCAGTTGAAATTTAAATCCACGTAAATGACGTGAATTAGCTATACACCAATTTGACATTATTGAATGATTCTATGTCCTTTTCACTTTCAAGGTTAACAAAAGCTGCCAAAATCAGCTGTAACTATTGATCAAAGATTTGCTTTAAAATCGATCAAAAAATGGATCATTCGATTCGAACCACTTTTGAAGCAATAAAAAATTCTGTAGGTTTGATATCAGCACGACGAAGCTTCTGAATGATCGATTTGGAAGCAAATATTTGATCAATAGTCTCAGCTGATTTTAGCAACTTTTGTTAACCTTGAAAGTGAAAAGGACCTAGAATCTTTCAATAATGTCAAATTGGTGTATAGCAAATTTTTGTCATTTTCGTGGATTTGAATTCCTACTGGGATTGGTCTATTTTGAACCTCTTTATTTACCAAAGGAATAACATTTTCATGTTTTTGGCTGCAGTTTTGGCATCTCCATTGTCGTTTCCATAAAGCATTTCCCGGTGGGGCGTGAGTTCTGGGCTACCCTGTATATTAATATGTCCAACGTAAACACTTAATTTAAACACTAATTTAGGATGTGGCATAAAAAATTGGCCAGACCTTTATATCAACATTCCCAGTTACCTTGGATTAAAGAGCAAATATGTGTCAATAAGAAGAAAACGCCATCAAATCTTCGTTGGAAGCTTTTCCAAAGGAAGCATTGTTGTTGTTGTTATTCGTGTTTGTTGTTTTTGATTTTTATTAATAAAGTAAATTTAACAGGACGATTGGAAAACCCACAGTGATGTTATTACTTGAACAGTCAAGTCATTTCTCAAAAATCGGTGAGACAGAGATAGATGATGTTACATTCTGCGAAAAATGGCGCAGAACAATATCAAAATATACGAGCGCCACAACACTGCTATCGCCCATCCTGCTTACACGATACATAATACATTTTTAGCAGGAATCCTTATCGAAGATTCATTATAGTTCAAAGATCAAAAGAAATACTTATAACATCCAGTTCGAAGTCTCGTACGTAATAAACAAAATGCGTTTGTTCCTGCTGTGTTGGATTTTGTGTTTAAGTTTAACATTGGTATCCTCAAACGTGACATCAGAGGTTTCAAACGTGACAACAGAGGTTTCGAATCTTAGCGTTGAAGGATTAACCTCGGGAGAAGGTGAAGTTGATGAAGAAGTTGTAGAAGAAAATGTCGAAAATGAGAATACGTTGGAAGCGACGCCCAGTAAGTGCAAATTGCGATAACTCTGTTGATATAAAAATAAGCGGTGCAAAAGTACATTTTTTATTTAAAATGATATCTTTTGTTATTAATTTAACAGTAAATCATAAATTATTTATCATCTAAATATATTATGGTGTTTTTTAAATATTAATTTTAAAATACTTCTTAAAACATATTATCTGATAAATGCAGCATGTCTTTAATATAAATTTTTTAATTATAAAAATTGTACAATTCAATTTTTTGTTTTAAAAAAACATTTATATATGATGTTGATAGTATTCAATTCGGTTAAATATTTATCAACTGGTTTTTCCATTTGACTGATACGAAATATGTAGGTAGTTTTATTCCAAAGTAATCAAATTAACTAAGTAAGTATTAAAGTATCATGTAATACAACTTTCCAATTTTTTTTCAGAATTTGCTACGGAATGTCTTACGCCAAATTCCGCTCCTGGGCTATGTATAGATATCTTAAAGTGTTCACCACTTCTCAAACTACTTAACACTTCGAAAACAGACTATATAAAATTGTCATCATGTGGACCTAAAAATTATCGTTTATATCCCAAAGTTTGTTGCGAACTAGGAATTAACAATTACAAAGAAATAGTTTCAAAGGAAGGTAAGTTATTTGCATTAACACGAACCTATCCGAAATATAGTGTTTTAAGCCAGAGCATTTCTGTAGTTACATTTAAATTAATGTTATTGCATGTATATTTTAGTGTCGATATTACCAAACAAATGCGGTTCAATAAAAGTGACAATGCAAACGAGAATTCTAGGAGGGTCCAATTCAGCCTTAGGTGAATTTCCATGGATGGCCCTATTGGTACACAAAAAAAATGAATTCACATCATTAGGCTGTTCGGCGTTTCTGATCCATAAGAATTACGTACTAACTGCCGCTCATTGCGTCCATACTAACCTCACGGAAATTAGAGGACCTGTGTAAGGACAATTCGCCCTTCAATATGTAACTTGAAATTTAAATTATTTATCTTTCAGATTTGCCGTGATATTGGGCGAGCACAATATGAAAACCAAAGTTGACTGTATACCCCCCGGAAATTATTGCGCTGATCCCTTACAAGTTAGTCACATTTCCAAAGTAATCATTCACCAAGATTATAACATCGAATCAACGGGCCATTATAACGACATAGCCCTAATACGTATGAAGAAGGCAGCCAAAAATACAGGTAAAACCAATTACTATTAATACGTTTTTTGACTCAAAAGTTTTTAATTTTAAAAATGCTAAATCAGAAAACGAATAATTTAATTATGTATAAAAAATCTGGATTTTCAAATAATAATAAAACAATTTCAGATTTTGTGTCGCCAATTTGTCTTAAAACTGATAAGGCCCAATCGGGTGAATCTTATATAATTAGCGGCTGGGGAAGAACAGAAACAGGTAGTTTACACAAAAAAAATATTTTAATTTATAAAAATGGAATTTATTGATTTTTTTAGATGCATTTAGCAACGTTAAAAGAAAAGTGGAAATACCGGCCGTGGATAATGAAACATGCCGAAAAAAATATCGTGAAATGGGTATTGAAATAAAAGATACACAAATTTGCGGTGGTGGTGAAAAAGGTAAAGATAGTTGCACAGGCGATTCCGGAGGGCCTTTGATGATTCAAAACGGTACTCATTACGTGGCAGCAGGAATCGTTAGTTACGGTGAGTAATTAATAGATATAATTTCAGTGTTTCATGACAGGAATATTTTTCAAAAATTATAATTTTTGTTTACTAATTTAGGTATTGGATGTGGCATAGAGAATTGGCCAGGCGTTTATACCAACATTCCCAGTTACATACCTTGGATTGAAGAGCAAATAAGTCTCAATAAGAAGAAAATACCAAACATTCTTTCTCGGAAGCGCACTTCTCATAGGAAGCATTAAAAAATACCAAAACTACTTACGAAAATAAATAAATACTTACGAAATAAATTGTATATTAATAGTTATTTTTATTAAACATTATTAAATAACAGGGTCTTTTATTTTACAACAAACCAAAAGAATTATTGAACTCGTAGTTTCGAAATAACTGGTTATTAAATTATTTTCAAAAGTATTATCGGACTTAGGTATATTGCCATAAAATATTAAGGGAGAGTAGTAATCTATAAATCTATTAATGAAAGTGCTACAACAATGTGGGCTTAACTCTTTTTTTAACGTCTATTAAAGTAATTTTAATAGTAATTTTAATTCAAGTTTAAACAATTAAATGAAAATACTAGAAATAATTCTAATTACATTTACAGGGCCGTATTCAGCACCTTACTTATACATGACTTTAAAGACGCATCTGTAACTTGACAGTTGTACATTGTTGATATGGAGTAACTAGGGACTTTGTTTACGTTAAAGTGACACTCTAAAGCCATATTTAAGTTTTAAGTATGGAGCGTTGAATACGAACGAAAGTCTCTTAGGAAAATACTACTCGAAAATTGAAAACCTTCAACACAGATCAAAAATTACTACCGATAGTCAAATGTGGATCATTTTCAGGGTTTTGATGATTTTTGCACTTTAAATGCAGATATATGGATATGACTCTTCATAAATATAAGATAAAATTTGGGGATCAAGAGATAAAATGACATCGTTTCTATATAAGGAAACATTAAGTGTATGAAGATACTGCTATCTTGAATTTACCAACAGGTTTTTCCAATGTTATTCACAAGCAGTGAGGCTTTAGAGTGGAATGGATCAACTGCACAAGATTTTAGAATAATTATATAACAAAGTAATTTATATTCAAAAGGGCTCATTTTTTGCAAATTTGGACAATTAGTTGAACAGAGATATAATTAAAATAACAGTGGTTATGGTGAGAATCCCACAAAGTAACTCTTTCTTTTTCCTTTATATGAGACTAATGGAAATTGCCTTTGTTTCGCCTACAACCTATAATGCAAAGAATTTTGCTTGTACCTGTGCCAATAATCAAATGAATCAATTAAAGGGTATTTTCCGTACTTTAATTCGACTTATTTACAATTTATAAAATTACACTGGATACAATATAATATTTCTTAAAGATATTACCAATTAGCTAATAATAATTTGCGCAGTTACTCTTTTCCGCACAAGCATTATCAACAACCAAAATATATAAAATACGGGAGGTCAGTGCCCAGGTCGTTCAGTATTTTCCCCTATGCAGCATCTCAAACAACAGTTAAGGGGACAATTTAATTATTTATACGAATAAAAACTGTTATAATGCTGTGTGGAGTGTGCGTTTTGGTATTTGCTGTCGTTTTGAGTAACTTTGGCATTGATGCAAGTAAGAAAACTTTTAGAATAAGTTTCAAATTTCCTTATTATTAAAATATTATTTGTAACCTATACGAGACATTTTTTTAATAATAAAAATGATTAATAATAAAAATAATTAATAATAAAAATGTGTGCAAATTAGTGTACTAGTTAAAATTCAGGAGCCAAATTGATATAAAAAATATTGATGCTCGCTTTAAGGAAGTCTGCATTCACCCTGTATATATCTATTTAGATAAGATAATAAAATACCATAATACAGGGTGAGTCATGCTCAACGCCTTTAGCTTAAATTTAATAACGTGTAATTTATATCATTTATTAAAATTATAGGTTCACCCTACATATTTTTGCCGAAGCAATTTGTTAAATCCTTTACCGTTTGCCTACAATACACTGTCGATCCACTTCGATTACAATACCAAAAAATTTTTGGGTTTTTTTTAGGTTTAAGAGGAAGTTCATGTATAACTCCTGACGGAAAGCACGCAGTTTGCCGTTTATGGTACGAATGCCCAAAATTACGATCTATATTTCCAACCAAAAATGAGAAGGAACGTATCTATGTAGAAAAGTCCAGTTGCGGTAACGAGATCATAGATGAATTCCCCGAAGAATTACTTTGTTGTGAAACTACTGCAGCGAATTTTCGAAGAAATCCCAGAATCCCTGATAGAAGGACCTGTGGACACGATGTAAATATTTTTAAATTTTTAGTAACAACTGTAACAGCACTCAAAAATTTTAACAAAATACACTACGATATCTCAAATGTTTTTGGTTCTCTATTATAAAATTGTTCATCAATTTTAGTTCTCCAACCGAATTCTTAGTGGTGAATCGACTGCAGTCAATGAATTTCCATGGATGGTCCTTATGCAATATCAATTAAAAAATAGTGATATAAGGAGGTGGTTGTGTGCCGGAACCCTTATTAACGAACGTTATGTTTTGACTGCAGCTCATTGCTTCACTTCAACAGATTATAGATTGTAAGTAATAAAAAGTCGCAACTATGTAGTTCTTAATTACAACTTCTTTAATTCCGTCTTTTACAGAGTCAACGTCCGTTTAGGCGAATTCAATATAAGTAGTCCAATAGATTGTCAAGGAAGTTTATGTAACAATCCTGAGGATATTGGAGTTGAAAAAATCATAGTTCATTATGAGTACCACAATGGGAGCGTTGACAATCGCAATGACATTGCTCTTCTCAGATTAAGCAGACGTGTCATGTATTCAAGTAAGGCTACAGCTACTATGCATGCGAATTCTGACGAAAATTTGTTCTGACGAACAATCGTTTGAATTCATACGAGGTTTTTGGCGTTGTCAGTAAAAACACTCTCATTAGAAACTAGGAGTTTGTTTTTTCGGATGATTCGTCAGAACTCATCAGAAGTCGCCAGAATAAATTTTCGTCAGATGTCGCATGCATAGTAATCGTAGCCTAAAACAGCTTTCCACACCAACTAAATTATCTTTAATGAATTACTTTTCTTCTAGAATTTATCCAACCCATCTGTCTGCCTCGATTAAATGAAGCAGCAGAAATCGGCGATCGTGTCACTGTAGCAGGTTGGGGACAAACGGAACATCACAGTATGTCGAATGTAAAACTAAAATTGGAAGTACCTATAGTAAATCATGCTGATTGTACAAAAAAATATTCTCACTTTCTAAACTTGGCGAGTACGCAGATTTGCGCTGGTGGCGTTAAAGGAAAAGATTCATGCAGAGGTATGGTGTACGAATAATAGATGTTCTCTATAAAGGATTAATCATTATTGATACTCTTAGGTGATAGTGGTGGTCCGTTGATGAAAGCTGCCAATGACGATCCATCCACTTGGTATCTAGAAGGGATAGTTTCGTTCGGGAATAGTTGCGGTCTACAAGGCTGGCCCGGAGTTTACACAAAAGTTGAAAGTTTTCTAAGCTGGATACATGATAATGTTGAGGATTGAATATAAATAATGTCTAATTATAATATTTTAATAAAATTACTTATTGGATTGTATACCATGTGTCCAAGGTCGAGCGCTACATTCGTCCGCCGATTCATAGCGGCGAAGCCGCGCCTTTCCACAGTTCGGCTGATTCTCTCTTTCTACTGTTTGCAGCGCTCGAACATGGACACTCTGTATGTAGTACATACTGTACATACATAGGTACAGCTTTACCTATTAAATAAAAAGAAACGTAGAACTGCTGATTTATCGCTTACAAGCAAACATAAAAAAGTAACACAATTGATATAAAACATCCCGTAAAAATACTAAACCAATTTAGCACATCTACAAGCAGACTCACTAGAGGTACATAACAACGTTCTGGAATGGAATGAAGAATGCTAGAATAAGTGATATGAATTTATAAGAATTCAAAGGAGTACCAAACTATTTGATAATATTCCCAGATTATCCTATTTCGTAGTGTTGCTTATACATTTACGAAAATAATAAATTACTACCGTACGGGGATTACCAATTTTAATGACCAGTAGAGGTTCAAAGAGGAATGAATCAACTGCACAAGATTTTAAAATAAACATATAGGTAACAAATGAAATGCTATTACAAGAAGTTACCATTCAATATTGCAAGTAAAATGCTTGACGTCCAGTTGAAATAGACCTACAAAATATAATGTCTGGTTTATAATATATTCCTAAAGACTCGTGAATATTCTTTCTTTTAATTGTCAATATTACCACCAATTCACTAGAAATACATGCAAAGCTATCGTGTAATAAAATAATATCGTGAACAGATAATAAAATATTACAAACAAATTAACTCTAACTACGTATTAAAAATTGAACTTCATCAGTAACAACCATAAACAAATTAATCTATTTGGTGTAAACTAAGATTAAAATCCCTCAATAAATAAATTACTTAAGTATTCCTGGGACCGTCGCACTTTCAATACGATCGAAAAAGTTGCTCTTCAACCAATCCAAATCCAATTCAATCCAATCCAATAGCGAAGAATAGAAAACCATTTGTGCAGTTGCTCTTTTCCGCAAAAGCATCGACAAAATTCAAAATATATTAAATACGGGCGGCCAGCGGCAAGAACGTTTAGTAGTTTCGCCACTGCGGCAACTCAAGACGAAGTCAAGGTGTTCATTTTGCCTGTCTCATGGTTAATGATTTACATTAATAGAAACTGTTAAAATGCGGCGTGATGTTGGCTTGAGTGTTTTGGTCATTGCGGCCGTTCTGAGCAACTTTGGAATCAATGCACGTAAGAATTTTTTTTGTGATAAACTTGTTTTCAAAAATCCTAATTGCTATATTATTCTAAATGTAGATATCAACGTCGTCAGAACGTATGTAAATTAAATTAAAATTCATAATCAATGGATAGATACGTAGATGTAACAGAATGAGAGTAAAATTCTATGATCCTAATATTTATTTTACTACTTTATTAAAATTTAGGAATACATGTATCAATATTTATCTGCCATTACTACAACTCATTAAATATGTAGGTACCTCATTCATTAGAAAGGCATTAAGTTTATTTCAACGAAACAACTACACGTAATGTCACTTAATTTTCCAGAATTCTAAATTATAAATAAAATTATTTTATACTTAAGGATCATTAAGATACCAAATCTTAATTAAACGTGAGTGAGCGCAGGTATAAACAGGCGCAGAAACGTAAAGAAATAATAAATGGAGATATATTCTTTCAATATCATTTTTAATGCGCATTTTTATCGTAAAACTTGCTTAATACCGTTTCGAACTTGTTCTATATTATAGAAATACAATTTATTCAAAACATACAGCTTGACATTTGACTTGAGTTATAGTTTTATCATCTTGTTTCAATAAAAATGTGTGTATATTATTCCTAAAATGAATACACCAAATAAAATGACGTGGATAATGGAAAAATAAACAAACTACCAATTTCGTAATACATACTTAAAAAATATGATCAAAAATTTTACTTAATATTATTATAAAAAGAATATTCAATGTATCTATTATCCTGTTTATGTGATATTTAGATAACTTAAGGAAATGATAATAATATACTATTTTTATTCGATTTAGTAATATTTCTCACAATTTTTTATGTTTTTTAGAAAGAGGAAGATCATGTGAAACCCCTAACGGGGAACGTGCGACCTGCGTTTCTATATACAGTTGTAGGACTTTACTGGATGTAATTCGAAGCAGCGATGCTATGCAAGTTAGATTTCTACAAAACTCCCAATGCGGCTACGACAGGGAACCATTAGTTTGTTGTGGAACTGCTAACACTTATGCCAGCCAAAGTGGACGAAGAGTTTTTGGAAATTCTGAAAGTTCGAGCAATGGAAATAACAATTTCCGGATAAATCCCAGCATTCCTGATAGGGAATCTTGCGGCCACGACGTAAGTCAACACTTCAAGACTATTAAAATAGTCATTTATTTGTCTTTTAAATCAATTACCACCAATTCTCTTTATTTAATTTTACAGTCTCCATATTTTTTTCAAATGATTTTAGTTTTCCGAAAGAATTTTTGGTGGTCGATCGACTGCAATTAATGAATTTCCTTGGATGGCCCTTCTGCAATATGTGAGCTCTAATGGAAACAGAAGGTGGTCATGTGCTGGAACCCTTATTAACAAACGATATGTTTTAACTGCAGCCCATTGTGTTACTGGAGATATTTTAGTCAAAATTGGCAGACTGTAAGTAATAAAAAGTCGCAACTAATTCTCAATAACAATTTGTTAATTACGTTTTATACAGAGTTAACGTCCGTTTGGGCGAATTCAATACAGATAGTGCAAGAGACTGTCAAGGAGGTTTATGTAATAATCCCGAGGATATTTCAGTTGAGGAAATCATACCCCATTCCGGATATAACAACAATAATCAAAACAGATACAATGACATTGCTCTTGTCAGATTAAGCAGACCTGTTGTTTATACCCGTAAGTATTCCATCCAGAACGACTAAAACGATCTTCAACATGCCAATTTTCTTCTAGAATTCATTCAACCCATTTGTCTGCCTCGATTACATGAAGCAGCAGAATACGGCGATCGTGTCACTGTAGCAGGTTGGGGAAGTACCGAATATGCTAAGAGAAGTAGCGTGAAACTAAAAGTGGAAATACCCATAGCGGAGCGAAGTACTTGTACAAAGGAATTTTCATCTGCTGGAATAAATTTGAGAAGTTCGCAGATTTGCGCCGGGGGTGAAAAAGGGAAAGATTCATGCACAGGTATGGTGTACTTACGAATAATAGATTATGTTCTTTAAAAATGATAATTAATTATTCTTGATACATTTAGGTGATAGTGGTGGTCCGTTGATGAAAGTTGCTAAAGACGATTCTTCTGTTTGGTATCAAGAAGGGATAGTTTCTTTTGGAGCTAAATGCGGTACCGAAGGCTGGCCTGCTATATACACAAGGGTTGAAAGCTTTTTAGGCTGGATACATAGTACTGTCAGGGATTAAATGTAATTATGAAACCTAATTCTAGTTTTTAATAAAATTATTTATTGAATCATGTGTGAATTTTTGTAGCAAATAGAAGAAAATAGACTATTTAGAAATTAAGACGATTGTAAGAGAGAGAAAAATAATATTAAAAAATCTCATTAATTTGCTCTAAATGTTTACTGTTTTGTTCGCCTGTCTAATTTGTTTAAACGTTTAATCACAAATTCAAATAGAAGAAAATAGAATATTTAGAAGTTAAGACGATTGTAAGAGAAAGAAAAATAATATTAAAAAATCTCATTAATTTGTTCTAAATGTTTACTGTTTTGTTTGCCTGTCTAAAAATCCCTGAAACGGGAATAAATTTCTGTAGCAGGGACAATATGGAAACTATTCATAAAACATTCTAAAGTTTTTAAAGTAAACTTTGACGTAAAAGTAATAAGTAAAATCTAATAGAAGCTTTAAGAGTACAGGAATATGAATCATTGAAATAGAAAATATTATAGTTACAGTTATATAATTAGAATTATCTACCGCTTAAGCTGATATTGGTCAGATTTAACTTAATATCGCGAATTCAAACACAACAAATTCATTTAAGGATGAGGATCAGCAGGAGAAGTTTGTTAGTTTTCGCGGTTATCGCTTCCTACTGCATTAAGGATAGTCTAGCACGTAAGTAAATACCTATATTGTCATTAGTTTAAAATAATTAAACTCCACCTGCAACAATATGTTTTTATACAAAATTAAATTATTTTTTTCTATGTTTGCTGTAAATTTGCTATAGTTGTTTGTACGTTTGTGTCAATCTTTGTATTATTTAGCATTCTTTGTATTAAAAGGTTGATCAACTGGGAACACCAGTAAATTGTTTACTGATGATGTGGTTTCTTAATTAATAGAAATTCCAAAATTAAAAAAATCGGAAAATACAGCTTTCATAAATAAAAAAATATTAATAAATTTCATGTAAAGACTTGTCGGACTAACATCCAATCCAACCAGATCTTTTGAAGCCAATTTACCAAATTTTTAAATCAAATTTTTGCTTACTGGTAACACGACGATAATAAATCAGACAAATTCACTTCCTTCCAGTGGTAAGCCACTAAGAAAGATTGGTTTAGAATGATAAAATTAATTAAAATCATTCAAGCATCAATGTTATTATTATTATTTTGAATATTTAATCTACTAGATACTAATTTCATTATTTTCACTATGTTCTAGAAACAACCCGCAAGTCTATAAACAGTTGTCACGATTTACGAAACGTTATTTGTAGAAGGGATTCTATGCATAATTTCTTATGTTTTTTTAGAAATAGGAAGATCGTGCAAAACCCCCAACGGGAAACGTGCGACCTGCGTTTCTATATACAGTTGTAAGACTTTACTTGATCTAATTCGAAGCAGCGATGTTATGCAAGTTAGATTTCTACAAAAGTTTCAATGCGGCTACGGTAGGGAACCATTAGTTTGTTGTGAAACTGCTGAAACTTATGTCAGCCAAAGTGGACGAAGAATATTTGGAAATTCTGAAAGTTCGAACACTAGAAATAAAAATTTCCGTATAAATCCTAGCATCCCTGGTAGAAAATCATGTGGTCACCAAGTAAGTCGATATTTAAAGAATTTTTGGTCTATTCATTTACTTGTCGCTTAAATTAATTTACACCTATTTTCTTCATTTAATTTTAAACCTTATTTCCATAGTTAATTGCAATGTTTTTTAACAGTATATTGTTCCATTAATTTTAGTTCTCCTACAGAATTTTTGGCGGTCAAATGACTGCGGTTGATGAATTTCCATGGATGGCCCTTCTGCAATATCAAAATGATGGATATAGAAGCTGGTCGTGTGCCGGAACCCTTATTAACAAACGTTATGTTTTGACTGCAGCCCATTGCGTCACTGGGAAAAAATTGTAAGTAATAAAAAGTCGCAACTAGTTCTCCATAACATTTTTTTAATTTCCTTTTTTACAGAGTCAACATCCGTTTGGGCGAATTCAATATAAGTAGTCCAATAGACTGTCAAGAAAGTTTATGTAACAAAAATCCCGAGGATATTGGGTTTGAAGAAATCATAGTTCATCATGGATACCGCCAGGAGAGCGTTGACTTACACAATGACATTGCTCTTATCAGATTAAGCAGACCTGTCGTGTATTCAAGTAAATCAACTATCCACACTAACTTAATTATTTTTAATAAATTAATTTTCTTCTATAGAATTCATTTATCCCATTTGTCTGCCTCGATTAAATGAAGCAGCAGAAATCGGCGATAGTGTCATTGTAGCAGGTTGGGGAAGAACGGAATATGCTAAGCGAAGTAGCGTGAAACTAAAAGTGGAAATACATATAGCGGATCGAAGTAGTTGTACAAAGGCATTTTTATCTAATGGAATACATTTGAGAAGTTCGCAGATTTGCGCCGGTGGTGAAAGAGGAAAAGATTCATGCACAGGTATGGTATACGAATAATAGATCATGTTGTTTAAAAAGGATAATTAATTATTTTTGATATTTTTAGGTGACAGTGGTGGTCCATTGATGAAAGTTGCTAAGGACGATCCTGCTACTTGGTATCAAGAAGGGATAGTTTCTTTTGGAGGTAGATGCGGTTACGAAGGCTGGCCTGCTATTTATACAAAAGTTGAAAGTTTTTTAGGTTGGATACATAGTCAAGTTAGAGATTAAACTACTAGAACTAATACTAGTACTAGTATTTGTAATACGTAATTCTAGTTTTTAATAAAATTATTCATTGAATCATAAGGTGTCAATTATACTTAATTTCATTAACCTAAAGTGTGTCTAAAGTAAACCTTGATCTAAAACTAATACCTAATTGAGGCTTAACCATAAAAGAGTAAATAATGAATACCTATTTTCAATAGGAAATATTATTATAATTAAGGTTGGACACTTTTTAATAACCTGAAAATACATTTTTTCTGAAATAATCCACATTTATGGTTTGTGGTTTATTTCATTGGAATTTTATCATAAGAGAAAACTGTCTGGGTATTCCTCTCCAATGATTTTCTAAGGTTTAATATTAACCTTGAATTAAAAATATTCATATACTTATGTATGTGCTACGTATGTATTTCATAGTTTCGTAGTGTTATTTGTCTTGTTCACTGGGATTCCCTTTTCAATGATTCCTGTAATAAATTAAGGCGCAATTAAACTGTTGTTTAAAAGTGAAAGTATAACAGAAAAATAAATTATTAATACCTACTTCATTGCCCAATTTAACGATACCTTTGAGAGTATAGTGCTTAAATTAAGATTTAAAATACTATCTATTTAAAAAAATATTTACAGTTCGTGTAGGTACCTATTTTTCCCAATTGACGCTACCATGCAATTATCTGCTGATATTAATCAATTAATATTAATTTACATACGTATACAAGAGATATAAAATTGGAAATACCGTTTTGTAACTATTTCAAAAACCAGATTTTAATAGCTGTTCGTCCGTTTAATCTACCGCTTAAACCGAGATCGGTCAGATATAATTTAAGATCGCGAGTACAAACACAACAAAATTCAGTTAAGGATGATGATCAGCAGGCGGTGTTTGTTAGTTTTCGCGATTATCGCTTGCTACTGCGTTAAAGAAAACGCAGCACGTAAGTAGATATTATTACTTGTTTTTAATAATTACATCTCCTGAAATATGTTATTATAAAAGGTTCAATTATTTTTTTCTATGTTTGCTAGAGTTGTTTGTATGATTGTATCAATCTCTGTATTATTTTGCATTCTTTGTATCAAAAGGTTGATCAACTGGGAAAACAGGTATATCGTTTATTCATGCTGTGGTTTTTATAACAGCTTCGTAATTATGTTTGCGTTTGTATAAAAATAGTCCTGTAAAATTTACAAATTCGGAAAAAACTGCTTTTTTAAATAAAAAAATCATTAATAAATTTCATATAAAGTCTTGTCCGATCAAAATTCAATTTAACCAGTTCTTTTGCAGCCAAATTACCGAATTATTTAAACAAACTTTTGCTTAATAGCGATACAAGGATAATCTTATAAATTTACTTCCTTCCACTGGTAAACCACCAACAAATTTTGGATAATACTCAAAGAATGATAAAATTGATTAAATGTATTAAGTAATTTTATTCTACATCTATCAGGAGAAAATTTTGAATATTCTAGCAGCTTCTACAACAGATTCTATAAATTTTATTAATTTTTCAGAGCGTGGAACGGCATGTCGAACGCCAAATGGACATGTTGCAACTTGCACATCAATATTCGAATGTACCCGATTCGTGTCTGCCATTCAAAATAGAGTAAGAAGCCAAATTCGGTTCATACAACAGTCCCAATGCGGATGGGACACCAACGCATTGGTGTGCTGTGGAAATGAAGTAGACTTCATAACCAAAGCACCTGCTGAATCGTTAGATAATAGGATGATGACGAACAATTTCATCAAAAACCGAGCCATTCCTTCCAGATCTTCCTGTGGATTTCAAGTGTGACATAACAACGAAGTAGTCTGGCACTCTCTAATCATGTTTTTCCCCAGGATTCCGACAACAAAGTCGAAGGTTTTATAGTCGGTGGAAAAGAAACCCAAATCGACGAATTTCCTTGGATGGCAAGCTTGGGATATACCGACTCGCGTGGTAACAGGAAATGGGCTTGTGGAGGTACTCTGATTAGTCCCAGATACGTTCTGACGGCTGCGCATTGCGTTGTTGGCGAGGTGGAAAGGCGAGTTGGAAGATTGTAAGTAAATAAATTCAACAGATCAATAACAAAAAAACAGAATTTTGTCGAAATTATTATATTTTAAATATCATCACTAATTTTTATAGATAATGATATGTATATCTATTGACCTTCGTGGCGGTCGTAAATATTCGTTCAGTAGTTTGTTTTTAATAATCTTCATAATTTATTTATTCCGAGAGTCCTTGAAAATAATTCATTTCTATTACAGATCAGTGATTAAACTGGGCGAACACGATACTAAAACCGAAGTCGATTGTATCAAATCGAAATGCAACGATGCACCTGTCACTGTCAACGTTGAGCAAGTAATCACCCATCCAGGTTACGATCAATCTGTGAATAGCCCCAACGATATAGCCCTCGTAAGGCTCGACAGAAGCGTACATTACACAAGTAAATGATTTAATGTCACTAAACGCTTATAGTTATTGTACGTTGGATTTTACAGAGTACATCAGACCTATTTGCTTGCCCGAACTCAACGAAGCAACGAGTGCAGGAGTAAACATTACAACTGCCGGATGGGGAAGAACTGAATACGGTGTCCCGTCGACCGTTCTTCTTAAAGTCGACATTCCTGTTGTTAATAAAGTGGTGTGCAGTCGGCAATATTTGGCCCAAGGGGTCAACCTAGTCGATTCACAGATATGCGCCGGTGGCGAAGGTGGGAAAGACTCCTGCTCAGGTAAGCCAATAAATAAGTGTAGTAAGGAAATTATAATGGTTTATATGAAATATGCTTATTTTGCAGGCGACAGTGGCGGCCCGTTGATGAGAAGATCTGATTCCAACATCTTGCAATGGTTCCAGGAAGGAATTGTTTCGTTTGGATCATTGCGATGTGGAATAAAAGGTCTACCGGCCGTCTATACCAAAGTTTCCAGTTTTGTTCAATGGATTCACAGCACCATTCGAGATTAAACTGAATATTCTAATATTTCAATGTTATTAAATCAACTTCCATAAATTTGTCTGACCGAATAAACTCATACGTTTTTGAATTATCTTCTGCTTTGTACCTAATTTCAAATCTTTGACATATTAAAGCAATCACTACTTTTTAAACTTGACTAACCTGAGCGTTTTTAAATTAAAGAAGAATTTTAAGAATTGAATTTTGAAATGTATCAAATAAAGTTCTCATTAGTCATTAGGTAATCTCTGTCAGAAAGAATGACTATGAATGATATAATAATAAGTAGGTATGTTAAAAATTCTGTAAATCTGCACTTAATCATTAAATATAGGTAACCAATAACTAATATACATAGATACCTATAACAATTCAGCTAAATTATTGATTTATTTTAATTATTACTTATTTTGAGATTTTGAGTTAACAAATTTGTGATATCTTAATTAAAATGAATGGAAAATTAGGAAAACAGATATACATTCATAAAATATTCTACGAATTCAAATAATTTTTAAACAGAAATTCTTGAAAACGTTTACGAATCTATAAATACCAAGGAAAATTTACTGCTAAACCGCGCTTTGAGTAAGTTCAAAGGTTCATTTTGCATAATATATTCTTAGACGGAAATGAAAGTTTAAATTAGATTTTATTCTAATGAAATTTAATGAATTTAATTGACCGTATTAGTCATAATAAGTAATGAATTGTTAGGGAAATAGAAGAAGAAATATATTATTCATGTTTTATCTTGATTTGTGTTTTCACGTTATTTCAGACAAAAATTGTGTATCTATTATGAAATTTTATCTAATAAGGAACTCCGGATATTATTGGTTAAAAATTCGGATGATAATTTTTTAACAACTATTTAATGTTGTGCTATGATAAACTTCAGGAGAAAACTGAAGTAGGTAAAAACTAAATCAAATTGTGTGAAGAAAGTTCCAATTGAAGAAAATTACGGGACAGTTCCTATAATGTTTTACCTTTAGGTACATCTAAATTAAGATAACAAACAATCGATTGAATATTAAATAAGAAAAATAATTACAAATTTCTTATCGTAAATTCCGCCGGACCTGAAAGTGGGAAGTGGGAAAACATCTAAAATATTGATAAACATTTCAACGTAGGCAGAAAATCTACCTAATCATCGCCTCTTCCTTCGCAATTAATTGGTGACTCTAGGGTATTTGACTCCGAAAGCCGGCGTTTTATCAATGGAAATACGATGAACACAATGACGTCGTAAAAAACGGTGTAAATTATAAATACAAAAACTTTAGCGCGAGTTATGGTAATCTTGGTTTAATGTTTACCCGTGCCAAATGTAGTTTTATTCCAAATTGTTTTGCTAGGCCGGTGAGATGGATGCATTTCAAATAGCAATTTTTGTTTGGTGTGTATTAAGAGTTATTGTTGCCAAAGGTAAGCGAATATACTTTACATTTTAGTGCATTTATAGTTAACAATATTTTGAAAAAGTTGCCAATAGGAGGAATATTTTTCGTAACATTTTATTTTTTAATTCAGGAACTTTTTAAAATATGAAAGATTCGATTAATTCGTACAATATAATATCTTTATTATAAATAGGTACATTTATTTTATAAAAAAGAATCTAAAATGTCTCTATTTGTCGGAAATTTTTAATTTAGATAAATAATTGTAAATTTTAAAACTATTCTTTGCTCTTGTAATAAATAAATTAAAGACAATACGAGGAGAATTTTTGAGGTCAATAAATTTCATTAAACTGGTGAAGGATATCAAAAAACGCAACTGTCTGTAGATCATTATTTCTTAATTAATTCCTAATTTTTACGAATGAGCAACTTTAACATATCCTGCATTACGAAGATAAAGAAATGAAAAGAAAAAAAAAAAAAGAAATTTAGAATAAAAATACCTGAGCAATTATCTGCCTGTAACATTTAATTAACAACTCATTTTAAGGTCTTCATGATGTAGATTTTGACGATACCGAATGCATTGCGCTAAAAAATTGCGCCTACGCTACTGATTTGATAAAATATGAAAAATACGCGCCGTCAACATTGGAGTATTTGAGAAAATTCGGTTGCGGTTACACTTCAAATAAAGAACCTCTTATTAAATGCCCAAAACCCATAAATTCCATAAAAAAAATTGATTGCTACACCACAGATGGAAGAGAAGGTACGTACCAGTATTATTAATACAAATGGAAACCCCTAAAAAGTTTCCATTGGATTTACCAATTCAATATAAATTATGTGAAATTTGTAATCAAATTTTTAACACATTAATATTATAATGCGCAAGCAACGACTGTCCCTCCGTTTCCTCGTACATCTAAATTCCCTGCATTATTTATTCACTGCTGAAAATCTAATTTCGCGGGTAATTTAATTTAGTTAACAAAGCAACGTTTATAAAATGCGGCATTACACTTGTACTATTATCAGATTGTTTTCTTCACAAAAGCGTTTTTAATTAGCCAAAGCGAGATAACGCTAGCGATTCTGTTTTCGGTGTTTTGCGGGATTTAAAACTAAAATTGTTTTGTTTCAGGCATGTGTAAAACGATAAATGAATGTAAAACTTTAACACACAGTTACATAAATTTCTCCGATATAAAAATATGTACCGATGATGTGAAACTGGATAAAATTGATATGAAAGTTTGCTGCCCTTCGACGAACGATAATGGTTTCCCTAATGAAGTTCCAGACGGTTACCATCCAAAATTGATTCTAGAAGAAGATTCTTCATTGCAAGAAATTAGGGAAACACAGAATATGTCTTATCAGAATAAGTCGAATAGTTACGATGAAACATCAAAATCTGAATCACGATTTAAACAAACGCTTGATCAATCTATTAATAGTATTAATGATGATAAGGTTAGTTATCAATTGGTAGAAGAAACCGCGGCGAATAGCTCAGGAAATCAAAAAGGATTCTCAACGTTGCAAAACCAAACGGAAATAGTGTTTGGCAATGTAGAATCCGCATCTCAAGAAAATCTACATAGTCATTTACAGAAAGTAATTGAAACGCCCGACTTTAATCCATCCTCTGTTATTTTTCCTGACGAAGAATATCAACCAAAAATACGAAAAACTCGAAGAGCAAAACATAAAGAGAATGTAAAAAAACCTACAAGACAAAATTATTACAACCACGAGAAAAGTAGAAACCTATTTTACAACAGACTCTTTTACCCATCAGTAAATGATGATATAAGATTTGCACAACCACCCCAATTTGCTAAGCATCACTACTTTGATATGTCCCAAAAACCATCTGCAACACCCAATAGAATAAATTATCGACATTACTGGTCACCCTTTCCACCAAGACCATTTTATGAAAATAATTACAATTATGAGAAACCATTCGAACAACCTGCCCCAAATCATTTGAATCCTCGAAGTAATTTCCAAACATGTGGAAGATTGCCAAAAAAGGAAAAAAGCAGGTAGGTAAATTGTTAACAAATAATGCAATTTAATGCATTTTTTGATTCGTTTTTTAGTATAGTAGGTGGTACACCAGTGGCACTCGGAGAATATCCTTGGATGGCTCTTCTACAATACAACGGCAAGAATAATACTAAGAACGGATGTGGAGGTACGCTAATAAATTCACAGTTTGTTCTCACTGCTGCACATTGTGTTGATGACACTATACTAAAATCAAGGCGAATGACATTGTAAGTAGATTAAAATGTGGTTTGTCCATTAATTTGCTGAAAAAAATATGCAATATTCTTTACAGGTATAGAGTTATTTTGGGTGAATACGACAGCAGTAAAAATCCTGACTGCGTGTCAACTCCCCAATCAGTAAAATGTGCGCACCCAAGCAAAGCTTATCAAATTTCCGAAATTGTAAAACACCCACAGTTTGTTTTACAAAACGCTCAAAATGATATTGCATTGATAAAACTGGACAGGGAAGTCGAATTCACCGGTAAGTTCAAAAACCGTCTCAAAATTTTTATTTCTTGATTAATATTTTTAGATTATATTAAACCTGTCTGTTTACCAAACGAAAATTCTTACTATGATACTAACACACGTGTTATGGTAGCTGGATGGGGTAAAACACATTTCAAAGGTAAGTGATTCGTTTGGTTTACTTTATTCTCTTATTATTTGTTTAATTTTATTTAGGAAAGTCTAGTCAAATTCTCAAAAAAGCTATCCTTCCTGTCGTGAATCGGGCGTATTGCAACGCAGGCGTTAATAGACTAATTATTGGGCAAATATGCCTAGGATATGGTAATGGGGAAGGCACCTGCAATGGAGATTCCGGCGGACCTTTGATGATTCAGAGATGGGAGAATGCTGAGCTGGTTACTTATCAGTTGGGTATTATATCGTATGGATTACAAGAGTGTGGAACGGAATTGTCAGTAAATACCTTTATTCCAGTATATTTGAATTGGATTTATAGTATTATTGGAGTAGGAAGCGGTTAATTTTAGTGGACTGATTTTAAGGTATTTTGAAGAGTAATGTTATAAATACTCTTAAATGTTGGTTGAGTGGTACGATAATTACGTGTATAATAGGCAACAAATGATTCTATTTTGTATTTTTTTGTAATAATTAAAGTAGAAGATTGAAAGAGGCAATTAAAAAACTCTATGTACAATGAAGTTAAAATTATGTATAATAATTATTAGTGTAAAAGAGATAAAACTCCGTTTTATTATGTAATAAAAGTAGGAAAATGTTTAAGTAAAATAAAATCTTAAATAAAAAAGTATTAAATTTATTTAAAAAAAGAAAAAAAAAAACTCCTTCGGGCCGGATTTGAACCAGCGACCTATGGATTACTACAATTTAAACTTTCCGCTACAGTCCACCGCTCTACCAACTGAGCTACCGAAGGTTATTAATGCGAGTGTGGAAACCGCGTTATAAATGAAAATAAAATGGAATGCACTGTAGAGAAAAATTGATACAATTTTACGGCTGATCCAATAAGTAAATAAAAATGATGAAAAAATAATCTTGTTCGGTAATATACATTTTATATATTTTCATAAGCAAGGACTAGTTGATTCAAATTTAATTAAATGTCTAATTTATTAATTAAAATAACTAATTTTACCTAATATTTTTATTAAGAATTTACCAGATAATAATAATATTGGTTACTATCCAATTAGATATAATGCAAAAATAAACGCCACAATAATTCAGAAATAAATTTTACTAATACGTTTCAGGGCAAACGGTACCTACACTTTGACAAAGAAGACAATATCATCAAAGGGAAATCCGAAACAGCAGTTGGTACACAAAATTCTATACTTTGCCGATTTGTTTTTTGAATTTGTCCTTGTTGGAACGCCACGGATACAATTCTTTTTGCGCCAACAGCGCCTCGCCGGCACCCTTTTCAGTGATACCTTCCAGCATGTCGGATATCTCGGGACCGCCTTTGTTGGTCGATGGTTTTTGCACTACATTTGTGGCCTGTCGAATTTTATCGAAGAGAGCGTATTTCCTTTCGTCTTGAGGTCTCAGTATGTTGTTCTTCTTCATTGAGAAATAAATGAGTTCCAAAATCCCTTGACTTCTGACCAGGTAGTCTCTTTGAGCCAATTTTTGGAGCCGTTCTTTCTCTTCTATTTCCACGATAATCTGAGGTTCGAACGAATTATTGCAATCGCTTCGGACGCTTAATGGTATAGAGGACGTCCTCGATATAGATTTCGTTGATAATTCGGGAACAGGAGGTTTGGGTTTAGAAGTAACTCGTTTAGCAGCTTCTAATTTCGCTCTCAGTTGCATTTCATCTCTCAGCGCATTCTGGGCCGCTTCTCTAGCTCTACTGCAAGCGGTATCGCAATACAACGAATGCTGTCCTTGATCGAAGTATTTCGAATAATTGTGCTCCGTATTGGTGCAAGGATACACCAATCTGAAGCCCCCTCGATTCGCCATTTCGGCTTTGAAGTATTCATTAAAATTTTTCAAGTCACCTGATAAATGACTGTCTTTATTTGTAACACCGCTCAGCAGCCTTTCTCTGACTCTCTTTCGATCCTCTCGCATTACTTTACGTTTATCGCAAAGTTCTAAATTCATCATAGCAAACATGTCAGTCAACAGAGCATCTTTCACTTCTACATCTAACTCGGTATCTGTATGAAAGCTGGGCGAATGGTTAACTTCTAAAATTTGCGGATTTAGCCGCTTGTCCAAGAGAATGTCGATGCCTAATAGTTCGCAACAAGCAGGTAGTACATCATGATTTGGAAAACAGGCAGCGTAGCTGTGTTTTAGTACCGGGTAGGCGCTTATGATGGTTTTTATGATCACATCGTCGATCCTGTACCAAATCGCTTCGACGTCATGATGCAGAGTACTCAAATAGTTGTTCAGCCAAGACAATTTTCGCTTACTGCCAGCCTCTTGATCTTGATTGTAAGTCCTGCTGTGTTTGTTAACCGCGTAGTTGGTTAAATGCATAAATACATTCGTAATATTAATCCCGTTAGGTTCCTTGTATCTACTAGTAGCAAATCTCACTAATCCTTCGTTGTAAATATAAACCCTTAATGGATCGCAGGATGTTATCAGTGTATATACTCTAAGATCAAATTTATATCCGTCTATAAGGAACGGTTTGTTTAAGTAAACTTGACAAATGCCTCTGTCACAGGGTCGGATGTCCTTTAAGGATTTTGTAATAACTATGCCTCGACCTTGACTACCTGCATCAGGTTTCAATATAAACGTTTTGTTTTTTCTAACCCTACTGTAGGTTATGGCTTCCCCGAGATCGGCGGGAAAACACCAGGTCTTGGGAAAAAAATTATAATCTCTAGGAAAGAGTCGAAGCATTCTGTTTAGATTGCGAGCGAGAAGATCCTTCCTACAAATTTCTAGCATGCCTGTAAACAAATGAGCGATAAGTTTGTTATCGAAAAACTCAAAGAGATAAATTACCGGGAAAGTGATTGATCTTCTGGAACCTCTTCATTTCTTTACATTTATCGACTGTTATTGATAGGTCCGTCCAGTACATATTCCAATTTTCACCTTCAGACACCTCACGATAGGCGAATTTCTGAGCGACTCTTCTGATGACATCATATCTGCAATGCGTTAGGCAAACCGTTACAGTGCGTTTCTTTTTCCCCTTCTTCTTTATTCCAATAACTTTTTTTTCTTTTAGGGACAGTGATGAGTCCGGCTTAGCATCCTCGGATGGATTTTGCACTTTTTCTTCGCTAGAGGACCACTCGGAGGATTCGCTTTCTTCGTGTACGTGTAAGGTGACCGATGATTCGTGAGCCATTGATTGTAATATTCTTAACGGTAAGTCTTTTCATTCATGATATAAATTTGAGTGTGACGTTGGTCACATCAGTTGACATAACTAAAAATTTCTATATCAATGTCATAGTCAACATCCATCAGCTGTTGGCAGAAATGTTGGTTCGTTCAGAGGTAGCTTCAAACAAGTATTATTGTTTAATTACCGTAACTTTTCTTTACATTCGCGTAAAGTTAAAAGTTACATCACGTAACGAATTTCTTTGAAATAAAATTTTTATAAGTCGATTGTAAAATCCCGTGTATTTTCCATATAATTATTGTAAATTATCGATGCCATTGACAGTCTTGACCTTAATCAAGGTAAACGGGATTAGCAAAATTTAATTACGAATAAATTGCATCTACAAAACCTCTTCATACGTAGTTGGTTAGCGGTTAATGAATGACATGTGGATTCGATTTTTTGTTGCGACGATCTTCGTTGCGTGTAGATTTCTAGTCAGGACTCAAGGTGAGTTGTGTGAATTATTTTAGAGATTCCAAATTTCTGTATAATACTCGGTAAAATTTTAGAGGTATGCACAACACCAGAAAATCATGTTGGAGTTTGCATACTCTTGCAAAAGTGCCCATCAATTTTTGCGTCTTCTTCGGATTTTGAGACACCTTTAACGCTGGAAAGATTGGACTTTCTTATCGAATCTCAATGTGGCTTCGATGGTATTAATCCTAAAGTTTGCTGTTCCGTTGAAGAATTACAATCCTTGTAATTGTTGAACTAACGATTCTATTGATTAAATTAAATCGATGAAAAAGCGTTTTCGTTCTCACACTATTTTTCAAATAGAAACGTGTTTACTAAATGACTGGAAATCACATCGTTTATTTCCCTTTGTTTGCGACATTTCCAGAAAGTGATTGCCTAATAATCTATCAATGGACTGTAACAAAAAACCAGCAAAAACAAAAAGCTTTCCGTCCATGTGTCCAAGTTCCATATCCCTGCAGATCGGAAATTCACCATCACAACAAACATCCATATATCACGTTAGAATTTTTTGCTGGAACTTCGACCGGCGTCTAACATTAATGGAAAAGACATTGGTCATAAAGCCAATAGTATAGGCGATTGTTATCCAATTTTTGTATATGTACATTGTAAAATTATAAACATACACAAATAAAGCGAAAAATATGTACAGTTTGTTATGAAAATTGTTGATATCTATAGTGAATATATTCACTAATCGTCGTTACTATATTTATTTGTAAAGATATTGGGCGTATTTAGGCGTCCCCCATATTTTTAAGGGGGAATAAATCAAACCTTAACACATGCTCGTTCGGACGATCGCCCCGGAATTAACTCGTCGTTATTCAAAATGGAGAACGGCTCCGGCTTTTGTGAAATTAAAAGCTTTCATTAAGCTTATGAAAAATTATGAATTAGGTGTCAGAGGACAGGATTTATGACGGAGGTATGTGGACGTTCCGTTTTAATTGGGAATTTGTCACAGTTTGCAGACTTTATTAAAAAAATGCACCCGGTGATAAAAGAACGAGAATCTTATAGAAGGTTAATTAATTATTCTCGTTTTAATTAAGAAGTTAATGTCTAAAAGCATCGCTTCAAATGCGACGATTCAGGTAAAACTTGTTATTGAAATTGATAGAGGTGGCAAACAAATTTTTTACAATAATCTGTATAAAAAATAAACTATCCAACATTGTATTATATTTTATTGAGCCCTAAATTCAACCCATAAAAAATTTCAATTTTTTTCTCCCCCCTTCATATGTTCGATCAAAACAAATACGTAATATTTCTCCACATGTTTCCCTTTCATAGTTTTTATAGGCTGTAAAAATATTGAAGCATTAAAGCATTTAATATGCACAGCGAAAGCGCAAGAAAGTTTTACGATTGCGGTTTACGCCCGTTTTACACTCGCATAAAATATCAGAAAGCCCTAAACAAATTCGGCGATGATTTTTCCCGAATATCGCATCGCCGAAGAAAATAACAATAAATTGAAATGAAAAAAAAATGGATAAGAGTTGATTATGTTTTGAAAAATATTTAATACTTATTAAATTAATTGCATGAAGCAAATATAGGTATTTTCAATAGAAATAAAATAATCCCTTAAGGGAGTATCCACGCACACCACATGCCAATTGTAATTATCTGAAACACGATGCAATCTGATATATCCAGATTCAGCTCGCATCTGGATAGCGTTATTATATTCCTAGGAGATTTTGATCCATCAGGAAGTGGAATTTTAATAAAAGCGTAGGAGAATTAGGAGACGTCAATGGTGACCGGTGCCCCTTGGTTTCGTTTCATACACTGTGTGTTGATAGAAGGGTGAAAATACGGAAGTGTCAGATATTCGCCACTTTAACATGAAAGGGGTTAATGGAAAATTGCTCCATGTTATAATCCTAATGAGAAAAAGGATCGTTCCATTCGTCCAAACAATTCTATTTTTAAGAAAGAAAATTCAAACACTAATTCAACATCAAGTGTCTTCAAGAGCGGGTTTATTACTTTCCTGATTAATGCAAATTTTTCAGCTCTACAAAAGCAACCGAAAAGGGCGAAACACATGTACGGCTTTCATGATTAATTGTAATTAGAATTCAAAGCGGTCAAAGCGTCGTATAATATGAATCTATAACATGTTCAAAGTAAATTAACTCAAAGGTTTCCATGACGAGGCGATGCGGAAAATGGCGCGCGAAACTGGGAACTCATCATCTATTGTCCGAATACGGTCGAGAGAGGACAAAATAACTCGTGAAAGTGAACTTTTGATTTTTCGAGAGTCCAGTGAATGCTAAAATCGCGAAGTTAGTTACTTTCATCTCCCGCAACCCTTTTTCGCAATTTTAAAGGGCCCTCCGCACGTTGCGTGCGTCGGTCGAGATGAATTTGATTTGAGTTCTCCTCGTTCGAAACGTTCATTCGAGAAACTCGTTTATTTTAATTTAAAAGAATGTTTTGCTGACCCATAAACGTTTGCAATAAATGTACAACCCTCTTCGAACGCATGAAAAGGGATCGTTAATTGGTTACCAAGGTAGACAATCCACCGATTCAATTAGTCAAAATTTATTTGCGTTTTGTATTACTATATTTTATATTACTTCAAAATTTTAAAATGATGTATTTTAAATCTTTGTCGGTGTTACAAAAACAATAGTGAGCGCATCCACGTTTCGGCTTTTAGTCGTATAAAACAAGTTTTACTGCCCGGACTCAGAACTCATTTTGAACATTATTCGGATGATCTCTGGCGAAGTCGGTATGAAATTTCCATACGCATAAAACGGAATTACTTTTGGATGACTGCACGTATGTTTTTAGTCGTAAATTTTGTAATATTCTCGGCGATACAAGCGCCTGCTGAATAATATGCGTGATAACATTCATGCAGCAACTGTAAAAAAATACTTCACCCACCACTATCCGGCGGGAGAACGAAAATTTGCTGCAGATAAACGCCCGACTGATTTCGTAAAAAAAAACAAATTTTAATTAGATTACCTAATGGTGATTATTGCGGAGACAAATTTGATGAGACATTTCAATTCAATCGCCTTAACGATTATATACGGGAAGCGCCTGCTAAAAATCGATTCCGCCCATCAAATTAATAAAGACTAATGAACATCCAACAGCGATACACGTAAACCGAACGAGAACTCCTCGAAAACTTCCCGATTTCTTCCCGTTCGACGGGTATCTGTGTGTAATTAAGATTGCTGAGCCGTGGATCCGCGTAACCGCCCGCGTAGCCGGCTACGCATCGCAACTTGTTTCGAGTGCTCCTGACGTCTTCTGAGGCCCAAGACTTTCTAATTGCGAGACGTGTCTGTGACACTTCCAACGACAGGTCCTGCGACCTCTTCCCATCGACCAGGAGCTCGTTAAACGCGATAAGTGCTTTTAATTGAGATGAAGCGTTGCGATGAGTTCGGATGGAAAATCCGTTCGATTCGAGCTGATTAATTCCGTTTCGACGGAAATAGGACGATTGAGAAATTGAATTATGATGTTTTTTTTTAGCTTTTTCGCTTTATTATTATTTTTTGCCCGCTTGCTGTAGGATTGGCAGAGTTGATTATTTTTATTTAAAAACGTAGTGATGTTATTCTCGTTTTATCATCTTCGCAGGGATAGTCCGGATGGGATGCATATTCCATAAGGATAATCCGCGCTTTATTGCATAAAAACTGTGTTGGGATTTTTTACTATACAAACTGTGTTTATTTTATCGGAAAAGAAGGATCAGAAAATGATTAAAATTAGCTTTCAGTATGTGGGATTCAATTTATTTTGAACAAGATTTTAGAATTAAGATTTTCGATTGATGCTGCAATTTTTACATGAATCTATGAATACTAAAACAACCAATAATTTTTTTGCATTAGGTACTCCATTTCAGTTTTTTTTTATCTTATGATCCGCAGATATTTCTACGTACTTACATTTTATAGGTAATTTATAAAAAGCTGTAGAGATTTTCTCCCGAAAACTACGTCTTGATATGGTAATAAAAAAGTTGGTAAAGTTTGAGCAAGGAGCCTAAAGGAATTCCTTTCAACATCATCGTTTCATATAAGAGTTTACAATTTCGAGTGAACAGTATCTAACTTGATACGAATTTATTCGTTTTTCAACGGATGCTTTGGGAGAATAAAACATCGAAACGTGCATACATACATTTTTAATACACTTTTACATCTTCCATTGCAATTGGATATCTTAATGTTCAGATATTTTTTGTGTAGAAACGCTGCAAGATTACGATTCGTAACAATACAATTAATTTTCGACGGCTCGCAACGAACAGCCGTTCGGCGTGAAATCTCCCGGAAAAAATCTATCGAAAAGCCTCGAAGGTATACTCGAAAATAATGACGAAAATAACGGCGTTTGCCGTAGTAATCGACTCGGTATGATTGTGCGAGTTTGACGGATGGGATTGAGTCTTGGAAATCGGTCATTAACGCGCTTCAAGAAAATGTTCCATCAGTTTTGTAGTGCTCTCCAAGACCAACAATCATCGTTATCCCCATTGTTTCCGACTCTTGGGTCTCCCGCACGCATTGACGTAGACCAACGATTTATTCGATAATTTAATTACACCAGTATTATTCTGTAAGACCCAAGTTATTAAAACTTTAACATTCACAATCAACCAATATATTAAATTTACCCAATACTAAATATTTAAATATGTTAATAGTATAAGAAACTTGAAGAAAATAAAGTGATAAATGAGTTAAGATAAGAAAAAGTCATATTTTTATTAACCCTTTCCGATTATTAAGGGATAATTCGACTAGAATTGGACATTTGAGTTAATCCTGTCTGGCGTTGAAACGAGCCGTTCCTGATTTATGTCCCTGTTCAGAAGGCATTGCTAGAAACGGAAACAAAGGACGGAAAGCAACATGTCGGATTCATAGTTATAAATGTCATGTCAGATGCGACCTCCTTTATTGTTTTCGGCGTTCTTGGAGGGAGATGTCCCTTCGTCTTAATGCATTCTTTGTCGGTTATTAATAAGTGGAAGAAGAAAAAACTTATGGTATTCATATATCCATCCCAAGGATTATATGAGATATAATGACGTACGGTGATTGGAGACATAATGGGGACGGTTATTCCGAGAGTTTCGCCTTTTATTGCGCGCTTTCGATTGTAATTTTTAGCCGCATTGTCAAAATTGAAGAGATAGGGAAAGAAACAAAAAGTCTTCTTGGAATCTTTTTTAACAACCCTCACAATCCTCCCGAATTTTTACTCAAACAAATTTCGTTTGCTTCGTCTACAATAAACACCAAGTAACTCTATTAATGAATAGTGTTAGTATAGGATACATTTTCTTTAACCCATTTTGCTCGCGTTTACAACCGAACTTTCTTTTCCGCTCTTCGTAATAAATCTCCAATTTGTTGAGCTGCACTTAAAACAGCCAATATCTCAGGCAAGTTGGTCATGAAAGTTGCATCCGTCCGATTTTTATGATATCGTATAGGAGAAGCTTTAGTGCCGTTACCATATCCCATAAAACGTCAAGACAAACGAGCAATTAAATCAGAACTAGCAGTTGTAAAGAGTCGGAAGGAAACGTCTTGAAGTAATAACACGGGATCTTTTCCCGGTATACGAGGTTCGGATAGATTTTGATGTACGGTTATTTAATGTGCCGTATCTTAAAAAGGTTCACGTGCTTTACAATAAATTCGTGCCCGAAGCTCATCTAACCCGGATAAAATTAAATTAGATATTCGCGTTCGTTACGACGCAGTCTATGCAACACAAAATACAATGGGAGTGACGTCGGAATTATGCCAATAATTCTAACAACGACAGCGGCTAATTTCGATCCTATTTTCTTCCAGTTGGAAACGGGAAATGATCGCATGGCCGAGTAAATATTCTCGTTCTTGAAACACACAATACCCTTTAGCATATGAATAGCCGGATTTTATCCGACCAATTACGCACATGGTTCCACGGACTAAACGGAGGTGGTTCGAAGTTGAAATTTACGATTAAATAGTACGGGTAGTTCAATCAAAAACTACATAATCAAATCTTCATAAGTTCAAATTTGATAGTAGATATTTTTTTTCTTCCAATCAATCAACAGAAAGCTCATTTAAACTAATTATAGAACGTCTTCTTCAGCTGGATTTAGACAATTTCTCAATCCTTAAATGTAGCATATTCTCCTATCACTTTCAACTTCTTATTCCAAACAATCTTCCTGCATCAGTTGAAGAAAAATCACGCTATTGCCCACCTATTAAAACGAGATCTTTTCGATCAAAGCATCCCTACCAAATTAAATTCTGCATTATTCTGAAGCCCAGTTTTCCTATTTTAGTCGCTGTGAACGGGAGCGACAGCGTACGATCGGACGAAAACGGGGTCAAGAACAATGCCTGTAATCTCCTTGCAAACCCCTACCGGTAACGAGGAGTGGAAGGAACATACAATGCTACAACAATACCGCGACGAGATATACGGAACGGTAGGATAGACCTGTAGAAACTACTTTTTCCCTCCGGTTTAATAGCCCCCGGACAGGAATACACTTGTTCGACGAGTGGATACGACTAATGAATGCGGAGGGTTGACGTCGAAAGCGTAGAATTCTTCAATAATGAAAGTTTCTGATTAATTTTCCATGAAATGCTAATTAGAATGAATTTGTTATTATAGATTATTTTAGATGTTGGATAACCTAAACTTCTTTGAAAAATATTCAAAGTAATATCCCCCTGACGTTTGCTGCAAGAACTTCAAACTTGCGATAATTCAAGCGCACAATATCGTTGCCAACAAAGAATAAAACCTGTCAATTACGACCTACCCCTTGCAGAAAAAAAATAACATGCTGACAAAGAAAACCGACTCCCCACATTTTTTTCGACATAATGCATTTTATTGAGGTAATTTCGTATTACAATATATAATATAAAGATATATAACGACATATATCACGAGTTCACGTTTTTAGAAAGGAAAACAAAACATTTTTAAGGACCCCATAAAATATAACGAATTCTGTCGCCGAATCACCGACATAAAAATGTGACAGTACTCCACACTAATCTTTCCTTTGTGCGGCGCTTCCATATAGAATAGATGTAGATCGTAGGGACGAAATTCATACGTAAATATATTTATAATCCGCAGACAGGTTTGCAACAGTCGACTATTCGAAGCTGAAATATTCATTGTAATGCCAGCCGGGACAATGAATTTATTACGTATACGTTGTTACTCGATGTTAAATTTTGTATTAAGTTTTTTCACTACTCACTTGACTTGATTAAATTTCAGTACGAAAGCAACTAATAATTTTTCTGATATATCGTATATTTCCACGCCGCGTTTCCCGCACCATTTTCGAAATCAATTGTTATTTATGATTTATTCTCGGTTCAAAAATCACGCGAAACATCGCATTCAAATCCACGTGGGGGTTATGATGTATAACGATCCCGTTCGTTCACCGCACCTATTTCTTTTTAAATATCAGCCTAAATTCCATCCCATGCAGGTTCTTGCACCAGTGGTCACGAAAGAGTACATTACGGAAAACAGCCCCCGTCGCCGCCCCCATTCCGTCCGGATTCTGCATTTCCACGTTTTACAACTTTCCCGATCCTCTCAATAAACTCCAATAAAATCAAAGATGCGTAAATGCGGGGGTGTAAAAATGTAGTTCGGAATGTGAGAGATGTATAAATTTTATAGGCTTGTTGTAAAAACACCCCCCTATCAGTTTATTTCGTCTCGTACAAAATACGTTTTATTTGCACCCGGAAATTAAGACTACTTACTTTAGTATTCCCGTTTTTGGAATGAAGCAATTTCCAACTCCTCCGAGTTTTTGTATTTGTAAAAATAGTAGGAAAATTTTTAATAATTGAATACTTGCAGGTGAATTTTTCGGAGGTAAATTGAAAAGAAATGCCCGTTTCGGGTTTATCAAAAAGCGACATCTTCACAACATCCGGATTCCGCCCCGCGAGCGCTGATTTGATTAAACCTTTGTTGTATTCGATCCGTCGAGGGGGATGAGCTCTAATGCATGTAAAGTAATTCATCGTTTTGTGTGAAATCTTGGCATTTCTTGACTCCCGACTTCGATCTCCATTGTATAAATTTCCTATTTAACTTTCACGAGCCGACGATGAGCCGTCGTCGAAGTTTTGTGCACTTGAGCAATTTACCGGATGATAAAAATGACGACGCGGTAGAATGGATCTCCCGCTTTAAATTAAATGAAGTGGATTTGATCCGCTTTAGTGACAAATATCCAAATAAAATTATTGCAGGTAATCGCAAATTTAATTCTCGGAAGCTTCTCGATCGTACGCGGCAAAAAATCATCGGATACATCTAGAGAGATTGTTACCTGAGATACACTTACATTTTATGGGCAATTTATCAAAAAAGTTGCAGAGATTTTCTCTGGAGAACGACGTCTTGATATGATGATAAAAAAAGTTGTATAAAGTTCAAGAAGCGAATATAAAGGAAATTCTTTAGTTTTTGTAGTAGACGTCGTTTTATGTTAGAACTCCAATTTTTAAATGCCGTTTTTCCCATAAATTCTATATGGTTTTCATTCTCTTTTTCTTAATTAATTGATACATATTTGAAGATTTTTAAACTATTTGAATATACTAAATCTAATGCTTAAATCCAGGGTCAAATATGATATACAGGATACATAAATTTCCCACATTTTAATTAACCAGCATATAATTTAATCATTTCAAAACCTATATTTATTATTGAAATTGAACGAAATTAAACGAAAATGCGCAATAAATTGTTATCATATTACTGGTTTAGAAAACATCATGATTTAATATTTTTTATTTATTATTATAATACATACTCCATTTATCATCGTCCTAAATATTTTTAATCCGACTAATTTGTGTCACCAACGTTTGCACTAGACATGAATCATTTAGGGTAAGTTTAGAAAAAACTATTTCGAATTAATAATTTTTAAATATCTACATAACATACGGTTGAGCTCTTTTTATCTCGAACGAATTTCACATACTCCAACAAACTGTAATTACACTTCACATCGAATTATATCCTCGTTTGAATAATGACCTTAGTTGATTGTTAGTTGGTATGCAGAATGGCACGTGAATTGTTTTTGGGTCGAATTTGATTAACATTATTCTTTTACAGTAAGCGTTAATAAATTTTTCGTTTTTGTAAACAGTGAATTGTACGATGAGTATACGGTAAGGGTTTTTTTTACACTTTTAACAAATCCTCTTATAAAAATAACAAATATATTTTTTTTAGTTACAGTTTAATATTATTAACAACGCTCGTATCGTTAATATCAGCTGCAACAATAATAAACCAACACCCGAATTGTCACTGTCATCACGGGTACTTGCCCAAAACCAATCAAAAGGATATGAAGCAGTACTGCCATGGAATTTTGCACGACGGGAGACGAGCCTGCGTGAATTTGGAAAGGCCTCGATGTAAATGCACCTTGTCGCAGGGATTCATAGTGCAGGATTTGTACGGTTATTGGTGCGTGAAAGTTAAGCCGGGTTACGCCGAAGAAATTAGGTGGGACTGCGAGAATAAGAGAGATTGGGACGAGTTTTTCGCGAGTTATCCTGATGAGAAACCGGTGCCTAATAGTGATTTATAGAGATTTTAGTGTAAACATTTTTATGGAAGTTTTAATAGGTAGACGATTGAATATTTCTGTATTGTAATGTAAATATGTTAAATAAGTAAACAAATTTTAATTAAATTCAAAATTTTATGCTCAAATATTACAATTTTAATTAGTGCCTGCAGGTTAGTTATTTAACAATAATTGAATAATTGCAAAGAACTTAATAATTTATATCAAAGTATACATGAATTTATTTAAACGAAAAATATAAACAATATTTTTTGAAATTATAACAACTGCTAATTTTTCATATAACCTTGCAGATATCTTAATCATACTGCAAACATACACGTACTAGCATGTATGTAAATTACAAATATGTTTATTAATAACTTTGAAACTTCAGTTTTTTAGTTATGATAATTATCGTATTAGAAAATAGTACCACAAAACAATAAAGACTTATACTCGTTATCACAACGGGAATCACCCATATTTTAACTGCAATACACTCTAATAAAAACTCACTATCGCATCATAATGTTATCATCTCAGTAGATTTACGCTTGAAGGTTCATCGTGTCAAGTTCCACAGAAACACATCACACTCTAAGAGATTAACAAGTAAGTATATTATCACAATATTTGACTAACCAGAAAAAAAGTTACATATGATAAGATTTTAAAATGTTAGGTATATGTGGGTAATTGATATTGACATTAGAAAAAAATTAGATTATATACACAAACTGAATTCTGCATTTTTTTTAGCTCAACAATGAAGGATTTACTGCTACTCGCAGTTGTATTGCTGATATGTACGGTAACGTCACAAAAATCGCTAAAAACTATAACCGACGTGAGGAATTGCCATTGCAACAAGGAATTTGAACCTCTAGGTGATCCTGAAAATGGATACCAATGCAAAGGAAAAACCCTGAAGATTATCGTGCCGTGCAACTTGATACTCAGACCGAAATGCGCCTGCACTGATGCAACTGGTATACTGACGGACCATGAGGGCACTTGGTGCACTAGGTACACACAAATTTGCCAAAATTTCCCTAGTTAAATAGCCTAAATAAAAATTATTTCATTGCAGATATTCGGGTGGCAGGGAAATTAAAAGATGGACATGCGAGAATGGAGGCGACTGGGAGAATTTCTACGCCCAACATCCAACTGGAGTACCAAAAGTAGATTAAGAAAATTATGTAAAAAATTTACTTAAAAATAAAATTGCATATTGAACCACACTGTAGCTACGACCGTTCTTGTATGAATACTTCGTGGTTTGAATACTAGGCAACCTAATAAAATATTTATTACCCTTATTGGTTATTCAATAAACCAGATTCTTCGAGCGTACGGTACTTCTTAGTGTTATTCTTCAGTAGCGTTCGTGCTGTGGTCGAGTGTCAAGTCAAAGCGAGTACCTAGTTAAAATGTAAGTACCTTTTTGTGTGAATTTTAATAGTCCACTAAATATTTTCTGGTTTGTTTAGGATCAAGTTCAGCCTTTTCGTGTTCTTGCCAATAGCGCTGATATTAGCTGAAGACTTGTCTGATTGCAAATGTAAGGATGGTTACTCCGCTCATAAAGATACCTACGGTAATATGTATTGTCGTGGAAACGTTGTGAAATCAGGAAAATCCATCTTGCCTTGTAACATTATCTTTAAACCAGATTGTGTCTGCAGCAATGAAGCCACCAGTGTTGTGCAGGATTCTTCAGGTATTTACAACATAAAAGAATCCTCTACTTAAGCATTTTCTTGATAATGAAATTTAGGTAATTAAATCTTAAAATTGATAACAATTTTTTAAGGAACTTGGTGTGGAAGATTCATCGATAGCAAGGAATATCGTCGTTGGGAATGCGAAAATAAGGAAGACTGGGAAGCTTTCTATCAAAAACATCCCGAAGAGAAACCGAAATCTTAGAATATACACAACATTGTTTTATTATTAATAACCTAATTTGTTTTATTTGAAATAAATTATCCATTTTATAATTTTTATGTCTTTTTCATCTACTCAATTATTGTACTGTAATAAAATAAATTTTTATTGACAGTGTACGTTGCGCTATTAATTAGATTTGTTAGTATCGATTTTCAGTGAAATCACAGGAGGAGCAACTGATACAGAAATTTAATTGAAAATTACTGACATTAAATTGACCGAAACTTCCAAGCTGGTAGATCAACTAATTAGTCAATACACATCAAAGTAACATGTATGCTGAAATCAATCGTTTGTAAATAAAATAAATGTTCGAGAAGAATTCCTAACCGTCCTACACGATTCCAAAATGATCATCGTATAACTAATGGCTTGTTACATTTTTCAAAATAACGAGTTTGTGTTGTATTTTCTTATTCTCCTTAGGGTATCATTTGCAATATTATTCGAGTATATCTATACTATAGGAAGAATTTGGCTTTTAAAGAAATAATGAAAAGTTGATTATTACAAAAAAATAATGATGAGTAAATTATTGAAAAAATACTACTTAAACCGCATTTGTTAAATTAAAATAAAATGCGGATGAATAAACATCCTAGTCCACTGTGCCTCTTGGAAAACTTTTCTGCTATTCCATCTCTTTTGAGCATGTTCGTTGAGACGGGTCGAGAGGAAATTTATGGCTAGTTTTCGTAATTGAAACGACCCGGAGTAGAGAGAAATGTAGACGTGTTTCGGGGATCCTTGGTTTAAGTTCAACTTTTCGTACAAACAACCTCGGATTTTGAAAATTCTAAGTAAACAACATGGAAGATTTATATTGCAGATATTTAAATTACCTATGCGAATTAATTATAGAACACCATACAAATGTTTGTACTGAATTAAAATTAAATCCTTCTTACAAGTAAATTATAATATAGTTAGTTAAATATTTATTCAGCAGATCTTTTGATATTGTCATCTTAAATTAACCACAATTATCATCAGTAATACCAATCTGTGGTAGTGGGTATATCAATTATAAAACGATCAGGTATAAAATCACCCCGGATATACTTATAAGAACTTGTAATCTTATAAATTCATTATATTCTTATCGAGGAGTCGAAAAGTTAACGGGACCCGTTCGAGCGAATAACACTTGATGAAATACCATTCTGGTTCTAAAACGCCGTACACATCTTAAGTGTGCACGCTACATTTGCTTAAAGAGAAACCATGTGGAATGTTCCGGGAGCGGTGCGTTAACATGCGTGCTTAACTCCGTTGTGTGACGTAGAAGTTTAGTGCCCTCGATTTGCGTACCTAACATCAAGAGGAACGATGAAAAAACCTGCGGGAAACTGGAAATCCTATTCGTAAGAGGCCATTCAATTCCTTCCAGGTTGATGGGTTTTTTAATAAGAAGCCGTAATTTTTCCATTTTGCTGGTTGGAGGTATACTAATATTACTAGCTTCTGATAATATTCGCATCCCTTTAATAACGCGATACGTTTAGGTAATTTTTCTATATAGTAGAAAATCCACCCGGGGCTACCGGAGTTTCTGCCCTTTCCTAATTGGCCTTCTCATCGTGAAACCCTTACAATTTGATGGGATCAGAACTGTCCGGAGAAATTATCTGTACGCGGAAGTAGCAGTAATAAAGGAGCGGCAGGACAATAGACTCGTATCCGATTAAGGTTTTTCCAGGTATAATTAGAGTTTTGATTGACAGGAAAAGCTGATTGGCCAACAAATTTTTAACTATACATATGTATGTGTAACAGATGAGAGACTGGTAACTAAATTTGTATTCATTTAAACAATTTGACATGAAACCGTTCCTGAGCACCAGCTGGAGGGCAGGAGCGTTATCTGCAGGACCGGACGGTGGAAAGTATTAACATCGGATTAGCAGCAAAAACTCGTAAAGCAATTGTATTTTATTGTATTTGCCCTCGGGACAAGGATGCGTACGAAGTAATTACGATAATGTCAAAATTAAAATTTAACGAGGTCCCCTGAATTTTCGACCTTGCGTTAAGTGGAGGATAATAAATCCTGCTGTTCGCCAAAAAATAATTCCTAACAACGTGCTTGAGTTAACCCAGCGCTAGAATTAATAGAAAAAATCCACTCAGGAATTTTTCGTCCTGCTACATAGCAGACCAAACCCACTCAAAATACGAGGTAGTTTGTTTGCTGTTGACCTGGCAGAGAACTAGGAAAAAAAAAAGTAAAAAAGAAGCGAGGTATTTTCGGCGCTCATCAATAAGTAATGAATGAGAAGAGTTTTGCGGACTCGCGTTGCAGACTATGCGCTTTCATCGCATCGAATGGATCAACTCCCGACTCTTTTCGGTCGAACAAAAAAACTTTAATGCCCTGTTTGTTGGTACCTCGACTCTAAACGAAAGAATGAAAGTTCGCCGAACACCGGGCGCGCCTTTATACTTTATTTATGCGAACGAACGCCAGATGAATGTAACTTGCATTAATCATTCAGGATTTACTTTATATTTTACGCTTTTATCATGTATTAGTAGAGACATACCGATGCACCACTACCTACACATAAAATATGAAGGCATCCAACTTAATGCTTCTAATAAATAGCAGGAATCCGGGCTAGCAGATAAACACGATCAATTGATCCGGTCCTGTTACATCCCGATCCTGATGGAGAAGTTAATAGTGAGTAATGTCGGCGTGTTTACCCTGCGAGTATCATTACGAGTTTTTTAATTCCGATGCTTTATTACTAGGCCACAAATGCGTTCCCGAATGGACATTAATATGTGTCATTCCTAAATGGAATTCGTTCGATACGTATGGAAAACGGACGGAGGGGTTCCGATGCAGGGGTAACTTTTGATGGGATAAAAAAGAGTATTCTTGTAGGACTCGTTAAAAGGATGTAAATAATGGTGTTTTGAAGATGTATGGTAAAATATTCCGAAGAAATATGAAATCCTGAGGATATAACAAATAGTGTATAGTATGTACAAAGTTCTGTTTTGTTAACAATATCGATTATTTAACATACAATTTCAGTTTCTTCGTGGAGACCAAATTACTAAATGTAATAGTTCAAACAATTTAGTCCTAGAATAATAGAAGCCAAACGAATCAAGGAAACTGCTTTAAGGCGTACAACCTTGGCTCTTTTTAGGTAGAAGCTCAACATTTTCATATTTACCTCTCCAAATATTATTAGTTCTCTTCCCTTTTCAACAGTGCGGTAACGTTTTGATTAAATATTTGTTCGGAAATTTAGACGTCCCAAAACTACTATGCGTTTCATTTATTAATAGAGCCCGCCCTTTTGCTAATTCACTTAGAGTTTCAAACCATTTATGTCAATAAAACAGGAGGACTCTTACTTTACATCTTTACATCTTTAATCTTTAAAATAAGAGAATATTACTTAATAATTCGTTTAAATAATTGATAAAATTTATGTAGGAATTTTCTTTATTAACAATGATGTTTTCTAAAAAGCTAAATTCCTCTTTGTATTGCAATTAAAGCAGATTTTTATTTAATCAAATTCTTTTTGTTTGCCGGGTATTTTTGTAGGTACAATGGAAAGTCGGAATTCAAGAACAGTTGTAATAAGTTACAAGCTGGCGCACATCAAAGCAAATTAGAATTAAATTAGTTTTGAATTTAATAAATAAATTTATTTAACGCCGGCTTTAATAATTTTTCTCTTTTGTTAATAGTCGACGAGGTAGGTTAGGATGTATATTAGAAGAGTTGTTGTTCATATACTAAATTTAAGTAGATACATAAACACAGTAAGTAGTACTACATTGTTTCTCTAATGTTTATAATTAGAACTACCTATAAACCGTTTTTCGTAGTTAATTAGTTAGTTTTCTTAGTTAATAGGATTTCCAAATGATGGAGTAAATTAGGTGCAGAAGAAAATTACTTGTTGCTACAAATTAATAATAATGATGAAACTTTTCAACATACTGTTTGTCTTAATCAGGAGCTTTGGGACGCGAAATAAAAAACCGGCATTTAATTGAGTCGTCGTTTAGAAGAAAGTTAAACATTGTTTTTAGCGTGTTTGTTTTCGGTAGGCGATACCTACAGCAGAAAGGAGAAAAAGGGAAACGAATTAGGGCCCGCGTTTCTTCTTTTTTTTATAATAACAGAACCCCTCCCGCTATGCAAAGCTCGAATATTAAAATGCCCCACAAAAAGAAAATAAAGACCACTTTCAAAGAAAACGGTTGTAAAAATATTACGAGTTTTTAATGTTTGTCATTCGGGTTTACAAAAGAAATATCGATTCAGTTTGCGTTTGATGGAAGCGAATTGAATATTACGAAATTAAATTTTTATCTAACGAACTGCCGAGGAAGACAATATTAAAATTCTCTTTCAACAAACGTTTTCCTCATTTTTTACTATCGATTAATCCGATGTTTATAAACTAGAGTGTAAATTCTCATTCGGTAAATATTAGCAGGATTTTTCAATAAACGAACGTGTATAGAGACAGGGGGCGCTCGTAAAGATTATTACACGATTCGAAGTTTGCATACATACATTTTTAATATTCATCCATTTCCCAAATGATTGATCCATAAAAGAGTAGCGGCTACAAAACCAACCGCACCGGCATCGTCGTTATTTTATTACCATGAAAAGCTTATCAACTACCGGCAGTGGTTTTATTGGCGATAAAAAGATATACGTACAGTGTACGACTATCAGGGGGTCGATACAATGGCGCTATTTAAGCAAAGGATTCATAATTTGAATGAATATTAATACTATTATACCTACATTTACGACTTTCTCTTTACTAGTAAGCTAAGAGTGGGTAATACAGAGATGTAATCGCAATTGTAATTTGTTTTGAAGTTCAACATTCTTGTGGAAAAAGTTCCTTTACTTACGACGTTCAATAAACTTATAAAACTTAGAATCAATTTGTTTTTTATGCAGTAAACTTTACGCAATTTCCTCCAGAAATTTCCATTCGCCGAAAATTGCTGAAAAAAACCGACGGCGGCGCTGCCGAAG